ACACACACACACACACACACACACACACACACACACACACACACACACACACAGAGAGAAAAAAAAGCCATAAATAACCTCAAACTCCTGACCTCTAGAGGGATGGCCAGGAAGGCAGTACCTATATGCATGGTACAGCTACGACTTCTGCATTACATGAGTACTTCATAGACCTCAAAAAATAAAATCCAATCTACAGAAACAGGAAAAGCCCCAAATGGAGCACTTGAGACAGCTGACACAGTGGATCTAATACAAAAGTGGCCACAAAGGGCGTCGTGGGTCAGTTGGCAGAATTGTATCATGCCAATGAGAAGTTTCTAGCACATTCTAAACTTGTTATAATCACAGAGAATCAACCAGTACTTGGAAAGTACATGTGAGGCACTTAGAGACATATACTTGGTTACATACATGACCCAAATAAATCTATACTGCCTGTGTACATACATGTGTGCCAGGGAGAGTCAGTGAAAAAGCAACAGTGAATGCTACCTGTGATGCACAAGGCAGATAGCTGGCTTCTGCTCACTCCCGTGCTGCTAGATTTAAAATGTCCATACTGGTGAGGACAAAGATCTATCCAGCAGCTTGTATCATGACTCCAGAGGGAAACCCAACTCATCAAGAAAATCTGCAGGATAGCCTGGGCTACAATGAGACTGTATCAGAGCAGTCTTTATTGTTTCTAGGACATGCACTTGTCGCTGACAGTTTGTTGCCGAGACACATACCCATGTGGAACACCCACCATAGGTGGTGCCAAGAGCCCCAAGTCTCCAAACATGAAAGACACAGTTCATGTCAAATTCTCCCTCATACTCACCAGGGGCTGGTGTGACAGCTGAGGTCACGGGAGGAACCCAAGTCATGACTGTGGTTTGGCCACCTCCCTTCTCTGCGTTCTGAAATCAGAAGAGTTTTAGATGTTAACATCTTGTGTTTATGGATCTGGGCTCTCTCTACAAAATACACTGTCCTTGGATAACGTCAGTTATTCCCACTTCAAAACAAGTGTGCACCATAACGTGGCTGGTTAGTCTTTAAGCTACAGAGGGAACAGGTGGTTCAAAACAACCGAGAACTCTGCCCACAGACACCTTTGTGGCAGCTACTCCTGGCCCAGCCATTGGTGGCTTTCTTCGACCATTACATCTGGATTAGTCAGAATGGCCATAGGCCATGGAGATGGGGGGCAGAGGCCAGACAATTGGGCCCAATTCCAACCTTTTCCTTTGATCACATAACACCTACAAGTATATCACCTGCTGCTCTAGGTGAAAAAGAATGTACTACTAGGACAGTAATCAAGGGATCTCCAAACACAGGCTTCAGCTGGCCACATAACAGTATCAACTTCATGTGAACTTGCAGCCACCACGAGGGGGGAAAGTGCTTGTTACCTGACACTACTCCTCCAACATTTGTCATTAGGATATTAGGATGTCCTTTGTATTATGAAAGATGCTGACAGAACTTGGATCACTAGAGGTGACATCTTCAGGGAAACCTCCAACTCCATCTGCCCTAGTTAACATTAGCTGTCAACTTGACAAAGCCCATAGTCACCTGACGAGAATCTCAACTGAGTGAGTCTTTATCAGGTGGTTTGTTGGCATGTCTGTGAAGGACTGTCTTGATTACTAACTGACCAAGGATGGCCCAGCCCACTGTGGGCGGCATCCCATGGCAGGTGGTCCTGGGCTGTAGAAGGAACAAGCTGAGGAGGCACTGCAGTGTGGCAGAGCCTGTGCTGGGAGAGAGACTATTCCCTGCAGCCTTCCTTCTGGCCCCCTTTCACTCACCTCAGACCAGGAGCAGCAGGCTGGGGATCAAAGAGGTGGCCTCACCAGGGAAGGTGGGGGCTAATTCTTCAACTGTGTAGCTAAGAGTTGTCACTGCCCTTGCAGTCCATGGCAACACTGGATCTGTGCTATCCCAGGACAGGGGACAAGGCACCCCAGCATGACTCCCATTTCCCAAATTTCCCTGATGCTGTCTAGGTCCCTGGGGTACTCACTGAAGAGAAGAAAAAGTCTGAGAGCATATGGAAAGCAAGGAAATACTCAGATCCCTTCACAGGCTCTGAGGACAGCACACTGAATCCTGACAACTACGCCCCAATTTGTTGTTAATGTCTGGTTAAGTCTAACCAGCATACACACATAGATTACCTTAAAATACTCTGCATCTTGAAGCAGTATATCCACCTGGGTCAAGTACTTCCTTCTTAAATCAGTTTTCAAGGTGTTTCCAGGCACTGTAGGCTGATCAGAAAGAGAAGTCAGAATATACAGTCGGAATGCCCGAGCCTTGTGAATACTGGAGCAATCTGAAATCTCATAAATGTGTGAATACTTCAAGTCACTTCTCCACATTTGCTGTGGTATGGCTTCTCTGAACTTCCACAGACCCAGCATCTGATGGCAGGGCATTTACCCAGGATTCAGAGAAGGTAAAATGACTGAGAACATGCAACCTGGAGACGTTTGTGACAGCTTTATTAGAAAGAAAGGAGGGAGGCTGGAGACTATCTGAATACCTTGGCTGCTAACTGAGAAGACAGGAAGAGTGTTCCTGCTCAGGGGCTCTAGGGACCCTGGCTCTCCCACTCTCTCCTGATATCAGGAGGGTTCCAACCTCCCTTTCTGACAGCCAATGCACAGGGCTAGGAAAGGGCTCTAGTGAGTTAGCTCCACTAGGGCTGTCACCTACAACCGACCAGCCAGGGAGGTGAGAATCAAATGGTACAAGAAGGCAGATGACTCCAGCCCTGGGGACACCAGGGACATGAGACACAGGCATACCCAGCATTTAGGTTAGTGACCTCTTGAGCACTCAAAGTTTTAAATGCTGACCTGGAAGCACTTCCTTAAGGCTGGCTGGTAATCCCACCCACAACATCAGTGTCAGTCAAGGAGGATGGCATGCAGTGGATACCCTCCTGAACTGCTCTGCCCAGCCACCAGTATGAGAGGAACACTGGCGTCTGAATGGGTGACCAGAGCTATGGCACAGAGTCCTGGAAGACATCTTGGAGGACATGCCCTCCGGCAGCTGCAGCTGTACCTGATGCTGCTCAGTATCACCAGAAACTTCTCTCTTCGTCAAGCTGCAAGACGGCCAGTCCTCCTCCCCCTCTAAGCTTGCATTCACACTGCTGCTCTCTGAATCTAGAAGCAGAGAAAATTTCAGTCTCATAGGTACTTTTGGTTCTCACTTGAGATATGGCTACCTACGGTCAAGATCCCTGTTGGTTCAAAAGTGTTCCTCTGGAGTCAGGAAGACGGTTTAGGGGTTAAGACTGCTTATTTCCTGTGGTGGTTTCAATATGCTTGGCCCAGGGAGTGACACTATTAGAAGGTGTGGCCTTGTTGGAGGAAGTGTGTCACTGTTATGGTGGGCTTTGAAGCTCTACCCTGTGTGTAAGAGACAGTCTATTCCTGACTTCCTTTGGATAAAGATGTAGAACTCTCAATTCCTCTAGTGCTATCCTTGCCTGCATGCTGCCATGCTTCCTGCCATGATGATAATAGACCAAACCTTTGAACTTGTAAGCTAGCCCTAATTAAATGTTGCCCTAAGAGTTTCCTAGGTCATGGTGTCTCTTCACATCTCTGGAAACCCTAAGACGCTGTCCTTCAAGAGGACCAGCGTGAGCTCAGTTCACAGCACTCATAATGGGTGGCTCACAACCTGTAACTCTAGTTCCAGGGAAACTGATACCTCATACACATAATTTAAATAAAAGAAATCTTATTTAAAAGAAAATGTTTACCTTGTGCCCATGATTGCCAGGAGCCTAGAACCTTGGACAGTGAAATGTGACTAGGCAGGCTGAGGGACTGAGCCTTTAACTCACCACTCACTGAAACACACCTGGGTACTCATGACCCCAACATCCAAGGCAGCAATGAAGGAGCCATTTTGAGTAGCTTTAAGCAGTGGGGGAGACTTTGCATCTAAATTGTTCGTGGAGCTAGGATCTGGATTAATACCAGAGAATGAGGAAACCCTACAAGCAGCCATCACCACTGTCTCTTTGCTTTCACTTGGGGAAAAAAAATAGTCTGTGTCCACCGCCACCCCACCCCCCCGCTCCCATACAGACTCACAACCATGTAGCTTTAGCTGGCTTGGAACTTACTATGTAGACCTAGCTGTCCTTGAACTCTCAGAGCTCTACCTGCCTTTGCCTTGAGGGTGCGTGGATTAAACGTGTGCTCCAGAGTAAAGTTCTAAGGATGAACTCTGCAGCCAGGATAAACCATGTGAGGACTAGCTGGGCAGCAGCAAACCAATGCCGGCAAGGGGGAGCACCTTTCTGTAATCTGACTGCAAAGGGACTGGATGGAAGGAGCTGGGGAGATAGGAAGAACACATCCTAGGAGCCTTGTAGAAGGGAGAGAAGACAAGACAGACACTGGCTACAAAGGTGTGTGTGTGCGTGTGTGTGTGTGTGTGTTTGTTGGGGGTGGGGATAGGGTGTTCCTTTCTATAGGAGCTGGTGCTCACACCATCCTTAAGGGCAAATCCTAAGAGTCACTAAATGTTGACACCACTGGGCAAGACATGGCTCCCCATCTTCCAAGGACCTAGGAGGACATACCGAGGCACTTTATGTAACTTATGTTTTTAAAACTACTGCTTAGCCATCTAGATAAGCAGTGAGGAACCCTCGTGTGTACACTGCTGCGCAGTGGAGACAAGCCAGCCCTGTCCCTACCCTCTCCTTCTAACAAAGCGACACTCACTGGCTCCCAAGACTTGTGTGCAGGGTTATCAATACTCACCGCCTTCTGGCGCTTGCCCATTTAATCTGTCAATCATCTTCACAAAAGGGCCCTTGGGGCATGCAAATCAAGAAACATAAGCTTGATTAAGTAACAGCACATTTCTAGCCACTGTATATCAAGACATTCACAATCCTTGCAGAGAATAGAAAGCTTTTATCTTCCTGTACACACTTAATAAAGGGCCTCAAGATTCCCAGAAAGTAGTAGAGAGCACCATTGGTCACAGAGACACTGCAGCAGTAATCAGGAACTCACCGGGATGACCTGGGATCTATATGCATTGATGCATTGTATGTTTACGGCCACACAGTGGCTGCTGCAGCTCCTGCCGGGTGGAGCTAGCCTGCACTGTCTCACTGTGCTCACTAGGCTCCATTAGGTGCTTTTTAATGAAGTGCTGGCACCCAAGATAAAAGGCTGCCTATGATTTTAGAAGTCAGCACGGTGAGCAATGTCCTTTCACGTGCTAGCTCTACGGTCCCAGGGACCTGAGGTGGCCCAGCAGCACTGAACTGATCCTGCCTCCTGGACACCACACAAGTTGAGACCTCAAAGTTCTCAGCTTAAGTTCTGTGGTTTCCAGTGTCTGAAGGGCAGAACTTTTGACATTCATGGAAGCACCCCATCCTCAGAGACCCCATACTGCTTGTTTGGTACCTACAAAGAGAGCCCACAACAAACCAGCATGGTGCAATGGACAGTCCACCCTAACTCACTGCCTCCCACAGTCCTCAGAGTGGCATATTGGGACCAGCATAAACACTTTGTCTTGGGGGGAGAGGAGAAATCACTAATAATAAACGCCAGTAATACTGTGGGGTCCCCAGCTGTAACTACAGGCTATACATGCCTACTTTTCTAGTCTTCAGAAAAGCTCTACCATTTTGCTCTACAGACCCCAAGCAAAAGGTCTCCTACATTTTAAACAAAAACTTTACATAAATATTCTTGCTACCAGGACTACCATTTTAACACTATGCTGTTAAAGAAGGGGGTCACTGTATGTGTAATGTAAAGACAATGCATCCTGTGGCCTTGAATGAGGATGTCACAAGGACTGGGACAGGCTGCTCCTTGAGGTCCATGCAAAGGGCTTCACCCATCAATCCATGGAATATACCAGGTGTGCTCACTTTCACGTGTCTGGTGGCTTCCCTCATGACAGAGCTGAACAGCAGTATAAACATACGACTGGCACATCCTCAAGTACTTAACGTCTTCACAAAGAAGAACAGAGGAAGGTGCCAGGGCCAAATGCCTTGGAACTGATGAGCAGCTTTTAAAGAAAAGACAACTATAAAACATGGATATAATTCTAGCACTCCAGGAAGATGAAGCGAGACTGGTGAGAGTTTGAGGCCAGCCTGGGCTACATATCAAGTTCCAGGTTAGTCTGGGTGACAGTGTGAGATCCTGTCTCAAAAAAAAACCAAAGGGCAACTACATTACATAATAGCTGATGAAGACGAGAGCTCCTTCGAAAGGGGCATGAGGTGGGTTTCCAGATAGAAACTGAGATGGTACGAGTGACCACACAAAGGTCAGGCTAACCTAAGTGTTCTGCCCTCCTATGGCTATAATAATCAACCAGGCAAGCTTAACCCCAGAACTGCTATTAATGCTGTGTAACTTAATCTTGATGTTCCCTTCTGGGCAACGGGTTTCCCCAGGAACCACGGTTGCCTGAGATTCCATTAGACCAGACAGCCTTTCACAAATCACCAGGACAAAAGGCCACACAAGTCTCACAGCAGGAAGGCAAACTGTGTTGGTGCCAACCAGGAAAACAACATCAGCTGTACTTACTAGCCATAAAGCCCTGGTACCTGGAGACCCTCATTCTAGAGGTACAGAAAGGCAGGAGGCCATGCAGTTCTTTACTCTATCCCCCCCTCCTCCTCTTCCTCCTGTTTCTCCTTCCTGGTTACAGAGGAAGAAAAGAGGCATTGTTTTTTCTCAGGGAAATGAGATTTGGGCTTTTTTGGTAAGGACCGGAAAAAAAGAGCTCCCAGTTGTCTCTAGGACACACCCTGCAGGTCCCCAAGCTGGTCCAGCATCTGTACACACAAGCTTGTTGTTAGGGCCCTGTGGACTATGATGGAGGAAGAGTATGCAAGAGCCAGGAGATGGAAGAAACACTTCTCAGTGTATCTTCAAACAGGAGGGGAAGGCAGAGGAGGAAGTCTACAGCTGGTCTCCTGCAGCTCTCGGAGCACCCTGGCCTACAGGCTCTCCCACACTGGTGTTCAGTCACACCCCACAGTAAAGCATTAAGGCAGCAAGCTTGATGGTAAATACCTGCATTTGTTCCTCGTCTCCTTTCTTTATCAGCTTTCCTCCCCAAATTCTCAATCCTTAAGAAACAAAGGTGACAACTGAAGAAGCAATCTGAAATGCTCAGTTTCTGTTTAAAATGCTTTGATGGGAAACCAAACCAAACGACACAAAAGGCATGCATTAAGAGCAATCCAGACTTTACAGTGCTGTTGGTCAGCTCTGTGAAGGAGAAAGTTTTTAAAAAACCAAGGTTGGACAAACTTGTTATTAGTGGCAATCCCTCCTACCCAGAAGGCAGCAGTTTACCCAATTCCACGACGGACCTGAAGGGTTCAGGACAGCTCATATTCCAAACACGTACTATTCTCAAGCTGTAGATTTGCGGGGGGGGGGGGGGGTGTTAGAGGGCAGTGACACATACATTTGACCTCATCCTGGGAGTCACAGTGCTTTCCTAAGGTAATCTAGAAGCACAGTACAGAGAAGCCCGTATACAGAGAATCCTGGAGCTTGAGTGTATCAGCCCTGTCATTCCCCAGCTAGCAGAACCTGTGCGATATACTCAGTCCTTCTAAATCTCCCAGGAAAATACAAGTTACTTACAAAAAATGGTGGGTTTGGAGATTTGAGATTATTTTATTATAATAGAAGCTCCAGACTTTAGCAAGAACACACCATTTCATATTCACAACCTGTCTGCATGTAACTTCTATACCCTTCTAAAAGCCCACGGGACAGAGACTTACCGTGTCCACTGTACAGACAGATATGCAAAGAGGAAAGTTCAGATGACTAGCCCGGGCTCTCGGCTCATGCAGTGGAAACAGCATGTGAATTCTGGAGGTCTGCCTGCGCTGACCACTGTAGGACATAGCCTTTCCAGGAGAGAGTAATGCCTGACTATATGGCTAAGTCAAATCAAGGCTTTGCTACTCTGGCTGAGTGGCCCCCTTTGTGGGAGTCTACATTTAATTGCATTTTTTTTTAAAAAAGTGCTTATGTGGCATATTTGAAACTGAACTCTATAAAACTCCTAAGTGTAGGCACAGGTGAACTGTCAGTCCAAGCAAATGATTCGTTCTCTGTAGTTAGCTCTCTGCTTCAGTTTGGACTTTAAATTAGGATTTCATTCCATGGCACAGGGAAGGTCAGTAGCATGTTAGGTAAGGCCATGCCAAAAACTGTCTCTCAAAATAAGTAACAGGATGAGAGATTCGTGGTGAACTTGCTAGGACACAGATATACTGATTGACAACTGCAGCCCTAGGTACCTGTGTACCAAATCTTAGAGAGAGCTATTATATGCCAATCTATATGGTCTCAAACTATTCAGACACCTCACTGTTCTCATACAACTGATATCAGGGTTTCACTGACAAAATGCGCCGTCATTCAAGATAGATGGGCTGTCCAAAATACTCCAGACACTGCCTACCCTTTCATGAACAGCTGCAAGAACACAGAGAAGCCAAGAGAAAACACCAAGAGACAGATGGCACGCTTAAGGATTCCTATATTACTGTGTCCCGATCCTATTTAGAGAAAAGCAACCCATTGCAGCATTATTTCAGTTTCTGCCTATGTAAAACGCTTACTCAACATGTGCCTTGAACAGTCAAAAAGACAAAGGGTGGCCTGCCCTTGTCAAAGAGCGGGTCCTATGGACCCTTGGCAGACTGTGATCCGAAATCAGATTTTATCAATAAATGAAGACAAACATCAGGGATGAGTCTTAGGGAAGGAAATGATATCAAATACAAACATACTCCAGTTAGAGAATCCATGAGGTAGGTTTAAGGCAGTTCACAACCTTAAATAAAATGACTTCAGAGGAGTCAGATAATGGAACTGTACGAAACAGATGGGTCCAAGTTTACAGAGCATAGCCTATGAGAGCGGAGCAGTCCTGGGCGCTGTTCCAATAGCCTGGCAGGCACTCCGGTGATGTTAAACACAGAGACACTGTACCGCTAATCAATTAGCTCGGACTTCCACGCCAGGTATTTTAAAAATCAGGCTGCTCTTGTGTCTCCAGGCATGTCTTTCAGAGAAATGAATTGGAAAGCAGCAATTCATGGATTCAAGGTCGCTTGTTGCGAGGGCAACAAGCGCTGCATTGCAAATTCTAGACCCCACTGATCTAGCACACTGCCAACAGAAAGAGATGGCTCCGTACCGTAGGGCGTCTGGTAGGTCAGCGTGGCCATCTGCACCAACGGGTCGTCCTCAAAGGGCTGGTTGTACTGCGGGGAAGGAGAGCCGGGTCAGACGCCAGGGCGCTGGATCCCCTCCCTTCGCCTCAGCCGTCCCAGCCTACCTTTGCTATCAGCCGCTGCATTAAGGTCTGGAAGCGGCTACGGCTTTCTTTGAGATGCTGATGCAGCCGGAGATACTGCGGATCCATAGACTCCATGGCGTGCGTGGCTCACTGCCCGGGCTCAGCACTAGCCCAGGTTCGCTCACAAATCAAACGTGGCGCCCAGCGCGCCGATAGGGCCTTTCAAAAGTATTCACGCAACGGATCCAGCCCGAGTTTCCGGCCGCCTCTCTCAGGGAGCACTTCCGGCAGAAACCGGAGAGGGAGGGGGAGAGGGGGGCCGCCGGAGCAGGTGGAACATGCGCATTATTTCCTACGGCACTCCATCGCCCCCTAGAGGCGTCTGGGCGAGTTGCCTATCAAGGCTCCTTCCTGGATCTACCAATTGCTCAGCTCTTGGGAGGGCTTGGGAAAAGCCAGCTCTAAATAAAGGATCCTGAAAGGAGTCGGGAAAGCCAGTGTTCAAAAACAAGATACGTGTAAATGTGCTGATCGATATTATAAACGTGACAGAATCTGTGATTTTTATCCTAGGATGTTAATAAACTTTCCAGTTTCTGATTGTTTCAAAGCTGTTTCTTGATTGATTATCTTGTTCCTTGAGGGGGTAGGGTAATTTGGTGTTCATTTTATGAGGGCATTTACTTCGATTGACATTTTAGAACATTTTCAGATATTTTGAGAGGAGTTGTCTTCTTGCAGAGCGGGGAGATTGAACCCCACTAGTTTTACTATGGCTTCATAACAGCTACATTTGTGTACTTGTGTTAGCGTGATTATCACATTATGGGAGTTAATGGAATCCAGTATCAGGAAATTCCTTGAGTTGCCTCCCTACTTCTTAGCCCGTTCCATAATCTTTTCACGCTGTCCCGTTGAAACTGAGGGAGGAAAGAAGAGCTTCCAGGCTCATAGACTGTGGAGGTCCACCCAATGTATTTACAACAGGCACAGAAATATGCTGTCAAGTCCCCTTCAAGATGCTCAGCTTCTGGGAGGGCCATCAGTTGTCCGGCTCTCTTGGGATTAGATGGAGGCTGCCTCATCCAATCTGTCCCTACCCCAGCATGAGCCTGCTCCATGTGGGGATGTGAAAATGTGTTGCTTCAGACCAATGGTGGTGGTGTCAACCAGATACGCCTTTCTGTGTGCCTTCAAGCCTTCCCCATCCTGATGGGCTTAGCTTCTCTGAACTGCAAACTTAAAATAACACTTTCTTTCTTTAACTTGACTTTTGCTAGGTGTTTTCTCACACTAATAAGAAAATATCCAAGAGTCTATCAATTTACAGACAATTTTTGACTCCAGATAGAATGTTAGAAAGGCATAAACAGCTCATCAGAGGATGTTTAACCACATAGTTGGAGAAAGTTTCAGAATACTGATTGTCACTGTGAAAAATCAAAGCATTTACATATATGAAACAGAACAGATAATTTGGTCCAAATATTTTTGAAAGTTAAGAGGGACAAAATTAAATAATAAATAATAATAAATATAATAATAAATCTTACCAAGGGTTAATAATAAGAGCATTTAGTAAGGGGTAGGAAGCTCTTCTGGGGAAAAGGGCAAAGCTTAGAAATTGTCAACAAGAGATGAGGTGGAACAGGCATCTGTCTTAAAACTAAATTTGGGCTGAGCAAGAACTAGTATGATGGCAGACATACAAAAGGTGCCGCATTTAAACCTGTTGCTTTATATGCTAACTTACAAAAGTTGAAAATGACCAAACTAAATGGTCATGTACAGTCTAGGAGGTTAGCATAATTAAACAATAGCGACAGATATCAGAGTGGGTGTGAGGAAATGATTTCCCACCCTTCAGGGGAACATTTGCTTACACAATGTTTCCAGACGTCAGTGCGGCACGATGTAAAACAGGCTTTCAAAAACAGGTTGTGCTTTGATGCCAAGAGTCAACATTTTGAAACCTAAGCAATTAAAGACATTGGCAGGAACTTAGCCTGGGGATACTTATAAATCACTAACTACAATATTCAGTGTTGTGAGTGTGCTGGGGCTGAGGCTCCATTAAGTTTTGAAGAACTGCATTTATTGACATCAAAATGATAGGACATAGAGGTCTCAAATGGAGGTTCTAAACACACACGTTATGTACCAGTACTTTCAAAGTGACTGTGTTGGGGCTGGAGATAGGACTCAGCAGTTAAGACCCACACAGCTCTTGCAGAGGACCCAAGTCTGGTTTCCAGCACCTTTGTCAGGCTGTTCAAAAACATCGGTAACTCCAGCTCTGGGGCACACATTCTGACCATAATCGGCACCCACACTCACGTGCACATACCCTCATATACAAAATTAAATATAAGAAATCTTTGAAAATGTATATTGTTAAAGGAACATTAGAGGCTACATGGTCAAGGTCTGAGTGCAAAAACTGTTCCTTGCAATCATCAGTAAACTAGGACAAAGGTTAAGATAATGGCAGAAGAGATAAGATTTGTGTAAACTTTTGGTAGTATTGCAGGCACCTGCATGACAACAGGAGCGAGATAACATTTTAAATCACTGTTGATTTAATTGCCTGTACCTATTAATTTTAAACTTTATGGTATGGCCTTGCTAACTGCATTCTGATTGGCTTTTGTGAGCCGTTTGCTTGCTTTGCCTGCCCAGCAACAAAAATTGTATTAAAGAGGACAATGTGCTCCACCCGGTGAGCACCATCTCTGGAGAAGAGTGTTGCCTGACTGTAATAAGCTTTTTTGGGCTCTCCACTGCTGTGGGGGTCAGTTTGTGTTGTGAGGTGAATTGGCAGTAATATCATTTGCACATAACATCTGCACTTTTACGATAAGAGTGTCCGTTTATGAAAGTGTTTCCAGGATATATTCATATCAATGTTGTTGTGATGGAACACTTTTAGCATTGGTTTTCTTTCTGCCATGTTTTCCAGAATGGGTTCCTGTCATGCAACTATGAGCCTGTGTTATTCATGGAATAAAGAACTCAGACAGGCAATCACATGTTTTCCCCTTCGTTATACAAATCAGAGCCCTTTTATCCCAGTGAGACACTCAAGGCTCCAAACATTTTAAACCTGACTCCACACAGCTGGGTCATGTTTTATCCTCACGGCCCCTCACCTCCCACCTTACCCAGAAGTATAGTCTTTTCCCTGGGAAAATGGGGCTAAGGCTTTGGTGATATTTCTGCTCCACCTTTATGTGGTAGAAAATTGCTTTTTCTCTTTTTCACCTTGGTTTTTTTTTTTTCAACACAAACACATTCTTGGGGTCACGATTAATGTGTTTTAATGGGCTACACATTTTAAAAATCAATGGAAGAATTTACATTAAAAATAGAACACAATTAGATTGATTTGGGTGACCTATTTTTAGTCAATCCCATTATTTATGGGTCTGAGAATTCTCAGGACATCTTTCTCTGGAGCATGAAAGGCCAGCCCTTTCTGCACTACATGTGAATAGTTTTAAAACAGGAGGCATGAGAGTAATTGATAATTTCCTAAAAACCTCTCTTCCTTTTTTTATTTTTCAAGATCATGTTTCACTCTGTAATTTATACATATTTTTAAAAATATTTATTTATTTTCATTTATATGAGTACACTGTCGCTGTCTTCAGACACACATGCAGGGAGCATCAGATTCCATTACAGATGGTTGTGAGCCACCATGTTGTTGCTGCAAATTGAACTCAGGACCTCTGGAAGAGCAGTCAGTACCCTTAGTCACTGCCGAGCCATCTCTCTAGCTACCCCCCCCCCCCGGTTTATACATATTTTTAAGTCCCTCAAAAAACTATCTACTGTAGGAATGTTCTAGGTTCACCCTCGGGCCTCTTTTCTTGGTCTAGCACCCCAATGCAGATCTTCCCCCTCCCACATTTTACTAGGGTGTTCTAGTTTCACTCCTGTTGATATAATAAGGCATTCTGATCAAAAGCAACTCGGGAAGGAAAGGGTTCATTTGAGCCTACAACTTCTGGTAACAGCTGGAGCTGAAACCACCAAGGAATGCTGCATCCTGGCTCCCCTGACCCCTCTGGCTCATATGTGGAGCTCAGAGGACAGCTGTCTTTCCATCCAGTGCCTGGGTTCTGAAGATTGGACTCAGGCCACCTGGCTTTGTGGCAAGCACCTTTACCTGCTGAGCTATCTTGCGGAGCTGGGATTTATGGACCCTGTAATAGTTGCTTTTCTGTTTCTTTGATAAAATACCCGGTAGAAGGAACTTAAAGAAGAGAGGGTTTATTCTGGCTTACCGTTCCAGAGGGATAGAGTCCTTCATGGCAGGGATGCGTGGCAACAGTCAGGAAAAGCATGGTGGCAGGAGCAGGAAACTGGAGGATCCCATTTTTATCATATACAAGAAGGGAAGGGGGGGAGGGAGGGAAAGGGAGGGAGACAGCAGGAGGGAGAGGAAGAAAAGGGATGAGGGGGGAGGGAGGGAGGGAGGGGGGGAGGGAGGGAGGGAGGGAGGAAGGGAGGGAGGGGAGGAGGAAGAAAGAAAGAGAAAAGGATAGTGGAGCTCTAGTAGGCTACTGAACTACAGTTATGTCTTCCCATGAAAGTATTCCTAAGAGTACTTTAAGTGCTAAAAGTTTCTTGGTAGAACTAGACCAGCCATAAGTTCCTATACAATGTGACCCTGCGCTTTAGGTTAACTGCCTGACCATTTAACTGTTATCTTGCTTGCTTTCTGTGTACATCACAGTTATGTTTTATTTCTTTGCTTGCTTTACCCTTTAAAACTGAAACCAACTGGAGATTGGAGCTGATTTCCCACTAATTTGCTTGGGACAGTCCCACCTGCAATTAAAGAAGACTCCATTTTATTTATTCAGGCCTCTCAGGAGTCTATCTCTTCAGGTACCCCATATCAGGCATCTAGAGCTGTGGTAGTTATAGGAACGGCCTTCGTAGACCCATGTGTTTGAATGCTTGAACCTTAGGGAGTGGTGCTATTAGAAGCTGTGATCTTGTTGAAGCAGTTGTGGCTTTGTTGCAGGAAATGTGTCACTAGGGGTGGGCTTCCAGGTCTCAGATGCTCAAGTCAAGCCCAGTGTGGCATTGTCTCTCCCTGCTGCCTGTAGATTAAGATATAGAACTCTCAACTCCTTCTCCAACAC